ATAATAATAATAATAATAATAATAATAATAATAATTATTATTATTATTATTATTATTATATTATTATTAAGGAGAATATATTATTTTCCCCTTAACATTGTTTTTTTAAGTGTTCTTTAATTTCTTCATTATCTAAGTTCCCCTTAAGGTAGGTTTTAGTAACATAATAATAATAATAATAATAATAATAATAATAATAATAATAATAATAATAATAAAATAATAATAATATTTGTTTACATTCACACAGATATATTGAAAAATTCCTCTATGAACTTTACAACATAAATAAAACAAAAAACATAATGGATTTTACAATCATATATTACAAGTTGTGTTAAGTTTCAAAGGTTGAGCCATCTGCCTCAGCCCTGGTGCAAATCTGGATCTTAGCCTAGGTGGCACAAGCAAAGAAGCAGGTTCCCTCTGTTTTTATACTATAAATTATAACAATAACTATTTATAGCTGACTTTTTTTTGTTATACTTGTAAATTAGTATCCTGTTGTTTAAGGGCAAATGGCAATTGGCAATTGTTCGGTCAAAATAAAATATTTTTGTATACAAATCAAAAAAATTAAAATGATCTCTGAGCTGACATCAAGAAGGTTGTCCGACGCGAGCTGTCACAAACATGTTTACTCCACTAATGTCTACCCTACTACGTCTTTACATCCCCATTTTTACCCAATCAGTTTAATTCATTTATGTCTGCGCTTTTCAACAATTATCATTTCTGTCTCATCTGCATCCAAAGATAAAAATTTACGTTGATATCTGAACAATGACATAAACACTAATAAATTTTAATTGACAAAAACCACAGTTTGATTGATAATTTCCTTACCTGGTACTATATAGCACAATATCGGAAATATTTTGCTTGTTAGAGGGGAGTATTAAACTGCAGGTAATCCCGTTCGTAATTAATATCTTGTTGTGATATATTCTTTAGCAGAAAGAGTAAACAATAATTTATTTTATTTTGTTGTAAGCAAGTGAAATGTCTTTGAACTGCCAACAAATTTGCACTAATTTAAAAATCATCGAAAATAACCTCTACTAATACAGTCCTCTGGGAAAAATAACACATCAAAAACAATTTTTAATGTTTACACAGAGAAAGGGAAAAATTCATTTTCTTTGACCCACAAAAATCGCGGTTGACAAGATTTGTTTTGTGCGAGAAGCAGACGAAGTACAAAATATAGTTCCTATGTCTGTAAATGCACAATAATTTCGTGCAGGAAAAAAAATGACTTCGTTTTCTAGGCTGTATAGAAGCAAAAACAACTTAATAAATAAGAATTTTTTAAATATTCATAAAGGATACTTCCTGTCTAGCAAAATCTATTTTTAGATTTCTATATCTCAATGTTATAATAATATAATATTCAAATACTTGAGTTATAATGACATCATTTTCTTATTTGCTTCTGATGGATTTACGTTTTTGATCCCTTCTTGCTCAACTGATCACAAAATCCTGTCAGGGGAGTCTGGGAGGGAGGGGGATGCCACTTTTATTGAATCCCGGATTTTAATATGATCATGTGACAGACGAAAGTTGTCCCATATCAATAGAGCAGTCGGTTAGGTTTGAGTAATGTAATAATAACTAAAATAGCACTAAAACTTGGAACCAAAGTTATAGGTGAATTAAGCGTGGGCATAATTACTTAAGTAGAGATTTATGACTATGTGTATTTTTGAGGAATTATAATAGTGTAAAACTGTTTTCATATAGCTAACCGACTGATTTTTAACTTAGACATACTTTGTCCCAAATCTAATTGACAAACAGAAATAAAATAAAACTTCATTCAGTACTTGGTCATGATTAACATTATTTTACTATCTTGTATATATAAATTTAATGTCAACTTTTAGGTATTTTATATTATATTATATGTTCTATAAATGTTTTATATTTTGAAGTAGCCAAATGATAATTTCATTTTGTTATTATTGGCTGTTTTGTACAGTAATTTTAATTTTTTTATGTTTTTACAAGAATTTTTAATAGATCATTAAACTTGTTCAATTATGATACATATACATATTGTATATTTATATTATCTATATATTAAATAATTAATCTTATTGACAAAGCTTGTCATAATTAGTAATTCTCATGTAACATTCACGTTGCCTATGTGACATTTGTATGCAGTGATTGTGATGTATATTCAGCAGTAAAAGTACCATATCATGATTAATAGGGTGAGAAAAAGAAAATAAAAGAACACACGAGCATTTACAAAATGAGGAATAAAAGAACATTTATAAATCAAAAATAATTATAATTTTTATAGATATGTTTTCTATATTGAGTTTATAAACTTATTTAAAAAAATATATATATTTGAATTCCTTACTTTGTATGTTTTTAGATTCAACCAAAATTAAAGGATATAATGTTAATATTAAAGAAGTAAATATATACTACTTGTGGGTGAATATAATCTGGAAGAAAAAAAATAAAAAAGTATAAAATGCATTTAAAAGGGTATTGTAGTTTGTTTTTCATATGAAATCAATTAATGCGCAATAAAACTGAGTGGGCATCTATCTAGAATGACATCATTTCTATGATTTAATAAGCCAAAACCAAGATAAAAACAGTAGTGACTCGACAAGGGACGGATATACATATAAAGATAAAATGACGATCCCAGTGGGGTATACATTACCTGGTTAATATTTTTTTAAACGTGGCATACAATGGATTTGGTAAAAACCTGTTTGATATATAGTGACCAACTAATTTTCATAGAATATGTATGAGTGAGGTGTGGAAAAATTGTTGCAAAAAAAAAAAAACAAAACAGAGGAATTAAATTATTGGCATAAGGACACAGTTTGTCAATTATGATATTACATTCAAAATAGAAATCATGTATCTATAAGGAATTAAAGCTTTCTTTTTGTTTTCTTCAATGCATATTTATGTGTTTATTTATGTTTTAATTCATGACGTTCAATGTTTATATTTCATGTGCATATGTGATGAATACAATGGAAGCTTAAAATTGACACTTTAAAAAAAAAAACCAGGTGAGAATTTTAGCAATTGTTATATTATATAGGTTTTAGTTGTACAGTAAAGGTGGGAAAAGCAGTTGGTTTTTAACCTGCAGTAAACCAGATTTGTTGGTTGTTAGCTAGTTCAGGAAAGTAAATTTGTTCCTGCAATGTAAAGCAGAGTTGTTGATCTGTTGCAGTGGAGCAGAACTGAAAAATAAATTACATTAGCTGGATATCGGTTTTACTGCATTTTTTTTTCTTGTGAAAACTTTGTTGTATACTACTCGAAAACAGACACTACTTTTGTTCTCCTAAATAATGATTCTAGATTTACATTTATGGTCCCTTTATTTATAAGTCAGTAGAATGCTTATTGATGATTGTGAGGGTGCACTCCAACCCTAACACGACTTGTAATTTGACTTGTAGCAAGTAAAACATAGACGTTATTTCAACCTGTTCTTGTAAACTGATTATTCCATATTAAGACATGACAACTTGTTTCCGTTGATAGTATTTTAGCATTTTCTTTCTATTTTATTTTCTATTTTTGAATAAGCTTCATCCAGATTTAAAAACCCACATAGGAAACACATTTTTTAATTTTGCATTTATCATTTTCATAACTGTCACAACTAATAGAATATAGAATAAATTAAAGTAGGCTATAGGATTACAATTCTCAATCAATTATATTTAATATGATATTTTAAATAAATGGAACAATATAACCGAAATTCTAATTAAATCAACCTCCAGATTTAATGTCACTCAATAATATGCCTCCTACATTTTTATTTTCCATAAATCTATTCTGTCGCATATTGATTATATTTTAAATTCTCTTAATTAGAGTAGACCGATATTCTTTTATATGTTTAACTGCAACCTTATCCTGACATTTTGAAGACTGAACTCAACATGTTACCAACCAAACCACAGGTACATCCCATTTTCACAATGTGCTAAAGGTATTTTTAACAATGGATAGGAACTAATAAAAATAAAATAGATTTATTTCATCTGGTTTTATAATAATTCTAAAAAGTCAAAGTACACCAAATCTATGTTTGGTTCACTCTGTTTGATGTTTATAATAACATACAAAACTACAGTCTGTATTTCAGAATTGATAGGAAAACTAACAAAAAATGTATCAATTGTTTATAATTGTTTATTGTTGTAATGGTAATGGCTAAAGGCAGCGCATAATACTAGGTCTCTGTCTTTTCAACTTATAAAATAAGGAGAAAAATGCCTCGCCTTTCTTATTTTTAAAACCCCATATAAGAAACATGTTTTTTCCCCCTATTCACTTGGCCTTTAATGTACTCCTTTACAAATAAA